TCCGTCTGCGGAGGGTTTGGCACTGCCGCTCTTCAGGTTTTGGATCAGTTGGGCATCCTTTGCTCTCGATCGCGACTATGGTGCTCCAATTCTTGCGTGACTCGGGGCCTTGCCCGGTGTCCGCATATTGCTTGGTCCTCGTGCCGAGCTGGATTTCAAGTCGACGACGGGGCATCTTACATTTGGCACATGGGCATACTTGCCTGGGTCGCCGTAACTAAATTCCCTTACCCAAAAGGAATGCTTATAATAATTGGTGCTTTGTTTTGAAACGCGCTTCGTTTTGAATGAATTCAGAGAATAGAGCACGTGGCCCCTAACTAATATTCCCCTTATGGTTGTAAGAAATTTGGCGGAAATCTACATTATTTGGTAATTTTTCGGAAAAGTGCCGTTATTTCATAACATTATTATAAGGAAAATTTATCAAAGTAATTTCGATTTTTACCTTTATCAAAGTAAGGTGTGGAATTGGTTTAGTGATTATTTCCATTCAGTTTTGTTGATACCCCGTATCTTTGCTTTCTATGACATCGACTTTTGTTTATCGCATTTTTAGTTTACCCTTATGGGATTGGTCTTTGATTTATTTTCTTATTATATTGGTTTATTTCGAAATCGTCATGTATAACAGGGGCCTCCGATTATAAACTGTTACCAAATCTTATATTAAGCATTAAATTTCAAAATTTTTTTGGCAAATTTATTATACTTTCACTAATTTAAACTCTGTTCTCTAGCAGTATTGACTTCACTATTGATTTTTCAGTTTCTTACAGTATATACTTATTGTACCTAAATATATAGTTAGTTCTTATAGTTATATTTATACTTGTTATTGTTTAATTTATTTAATTTATTTTACTTTACATTAATTTATTTTACTTAAATTTAAACCCGTTTTACTAAATTGAATTCGTATTTTATTCCCATATTTTGTGGGCGACTTTGTGTTTTCTTTTTCGAATTCGCTTTGATTCACGCCTGGTGAATCTTGAGAGTGAATGACTATTTTCGAGTGCTCAAAATATCTTGATTTCTCTACTTTAACAATTTTCGAAATTTGTGAAGCTACCAAGTTACAATGACCAAGTAAATATATGTGTGTTAATTATTGTACTTATTTCACGTATTTATTGAGCTTTTAGTTTGTCAAACGCAATCTTACGATGCGGGAACGAAATTTATTTAATTTTCAGTATATAGTGAAATTTATACGCATTATAACATTTACTATTAAAAACATGTGTATATGTTTTAAATAAGTGTTTATTAATTTTACTTTTCATAGTCATATTTTTGTATTTAAAATAGCTTTCTCAGTTTTAGTTGCTTGTATGTCACATGCATTTGCCATATCTGTTGATTTATGCTTTTCTCCGTTGTAGAAGCTATTTTTTTAAACTTTTTTTCTTCCTTTTCACATTTACATCGATTAATACTCAATAAAAAAGCAACTATTGAAATCAAGTATTTTACAACAATCAATAATCTTTATTGAATTATTCAAATTTATTTATTGATATGTTATTTCAATTTTAAAGAGCATTATTTAATACGCTTATAGCACATGTTTATTAAATTTTTATTTTCATAAGCAAATTGTTGATACTATAACAATACACAGTTAAATTTTAATTCCTACAGTTATTAATGTATAAATATAATGCTACTTATTACTAAAAAATATTTCAGAAAATTTTAAATTTTCCTTTAGAATAGTTAAAAAATTATTTTAATTGGTATTTAGTGTTGATTTATTTTGAATATTTATCGCATTTATAAACACAAATCTATTACATTCAATTTGTTAAACGTGCGCTTAATTATATTAATTAAATTAAAGCTTACAGTCCCTGGACAAATTATTAGACGCACTAAAGATTCTATGTAAAATCTTAATTATCATATAATACTTTACAGCTTTATAGTTTTTACACCGGTTTGCACTTTTTTACGTTCGTGTATTAGTTTTTTAAATTAGACGATACATATATATAGAATATTTATTATATCAGGTATCATATTAGTATATTGTAATAATTCGATCAAATTATTAGACGCACTGTAGTTTTTTAATAATCACATGCTTTGCACGAGTTTATAGGCAATACTTTTATATTTAAACATACATGTAATGGGTTTTCATTCAGGAGATTTTTTATACAATTCCTATTTGTATTTATTTTTATTGGATTGCGTTACAATGTTAACCAATTGATACACGAACGTAAACAAGTGCAAACCGGCTTCAGTCGTGTAAAAACTGTAAAACTGTATAATATTGCATTATAATTAAGATTTTACACAGAATCTTTAGTGCGTCTAATGATTTGGCCAGGGACTGAGCATTTCAGCATTATTTCTATACACTAAGTATTGCTTTAAGTGTATGCATACTTAGTACACATTCGTTTAATCAAACACAATAATCTTAATCCACGAATTACGGAATAGTTAAATTTCAATTGTAATGTCATTATATATGCATGTGCACAGTTATAAAACAATCAGTACTAAAATATCCTATCATATTTTTCTTTAGAATATTTAAGAGATTTATATTTAATTCTTTAGTTAGCGTTTATTTTAAATATTTATTGCACTTTCAAACACAATTCTCCAATGTATATTCAACATTCAATTTATTAGACGTAAGCTTAATTGTGCCAATTAACATAATGGTTTGTTGTGCAGTTAATGTTACGCAAGCTACCATAGCTTTTCCAACTACCGCTGCCCCTCCTCGTCAATCAACTGAAGCCTCAACTGCAACTACAACGGCAACTGAAACGAAAATTGTGAGAGAAATTACAGAGAGTCCTTCCGATAATTTACTGCTCACATTGAAACCTGCACTGAAATTTCCGGTTTTTCCTAGCGGTAAGTCTTCTTTAATTAACGAAAGGTACGTATAATTACACGTTTGGACAAATGATTTCAAAGTTTGAAGTAATAAAAGTAAAACTGAAATTTCTTATTCGCCATTTTCTTTTTAAATTTAATATTTTAAAATTCCTATTAAATAAGAATTAAATAGAACTAGTAGTAAATTTTTTTTCAGTGAAGTAAATTTCATTTTATTTAACGAGTAATAAGTATAGGGAGAAAAAAGTTCTGATCAAATTTACAGTACTGTTTGGTATTAATATTTCTGATAAAAAAATATATAAATAAATAAACAAAGCATAATTTTGGTTAATAAAATCAAAATGTACGGTATTTAAACCATTCGTTTGGTAATTTTTTCGCTCATATAGTAACAGTTTACCAAAATTTCTGTTTTCATAATTATAGTTCTGAATTTTTCTCAGGCTTAACAATTTACCACTGTAAAAATACATTAAAACTGGGAAATAACTTGCATGGTTCAAATTATTAATTTTCAAACCCATGTTCTTGCTTAATTTCTTGAAAAAATATATACTAATATATGTTAAAAAAATCCATTTTTATGGTAAATAAAAGTCATGCTTTATTGTTATTTTTACCAAAATCACTACCGATTTGCTTTGGATAAAATTACCAAGATTTGTGTTTCCATAGAGGCAGAAACATGGTAACTTTTAAGACATTTTGGTATATTCTGACCAGTGGTTAAGAAACTAAATTATTTTTGTAGTTTACTATAACTTCAAGTACTTTATTACAAATGTAGATAACTACAGCTACAGCTATTTTTTTTTTAAATGTAGTGACTGCAAAACTTTCAAAATTAATAGCTACTTCACTACTTTAAGGAGACAAACTTTGCTGGAGAACTTAAGTCACACCTACGTTCAAAATGGTTTTGGATCAAAAATTGGCTCACATTAAAAATGAGGTTACACAAAAAATTATTAGTAAAGATTTATTCATGTTCACATGAGCCAGTTTGTCTTGTAAAACAATTTTTTTTTCAATTTCTCCATTAAACTTTCAACTTTCAATGCCGTCCTCGACATCGAATATTTAATTTGAGAAATATTGGGAAATTATCAAATATTAGAAATTTTGTTAAGTGCTTTATGCTCTTTTATTTCCTCTAAGAAATTAAGTGAATCGAAAATACGTTCCCTTCTTTTAAAAGTGTTTCACGAGTGTGCATTCGCATGTGAAAGTATGACCAAAGTGATAAATTATCTATTGTACGTAATGGCTGACCTAAATATTATGAAAAAAATACGCAATTCTTGTTAATTCACAGGGGCATTTTAAGATGCGTCCTCCCCTATACACCCGCGAAGATTTCTACCCTTCAAATTCAAAAAATGAGTAGTGTTAGAACCCTGTTTCTTTACTAACTTTACGTAAAAAGTAGTTGTCAGGAATCTCTACAACTACTGTTAATTTTTGTATCGCACTGCTCACTATACTATTTTTTTAAAGTAGCACTCTACACTACTAACTACAATAAAAAGTTTACTACAATAGTTTCACTACTTGTAGTGGTGTACTTCCGACCACTGTTTCCGACCATAATTTTTTTTCTCCGTGTTTGGTTAATGAATTAAAATTTATTTAATATACTACTTGATTCAAAATAAATTTTTAGCTATGATATACTATAATTTCCCCACAGTTTTTACAAACAGTAATATCTTAAACCCTCAAGTCTTTAAGTGTTATCAATGTTTCGAATCTGTTTTTGTTTAACTAACCACCGCAATATTAACTTCTTCCATGCCTAAATATGCTAATTAAATCTTAAATTTATCATTGAGTCTGCCTTCTATAAATTTCTTTTATCTATAACGACTATCATCATATGAATAGTTAATTCAGACTCCTCGGAAAATGTTGACAAATGCGTTAAGCGAAGCGCCTGAAAGTGGTATACGTCAGAAACGTATTAAGGAGGTGTATGTTCAGCTGACTAAATTAAACTTATGTTTCCTTTAACTGTTTTAGTTAATGTCTGAACATGCTAATTTTCTCTTAATTTATCATTAAATGTGCCTTTTATCTATAATTTTACAGAAGTAGCACCAACCGTCGTATAAAACGCGAATTAAAGCTCTACAAAAAATGCCTTAAATTGCTCAACGGATAAGCAATGTTTTGAACCTTTCTTTCGACTGATTAACGAATTTAAACTGAACTTACTCCTTACCATTCTTGTTAATATCTGAGCATGCTGATTTGATCTTAAAATTGATCATTTAAAATGCTTTTTATCTATAATTTGAAGGAAGTACCACCTGCCATCAAAGAAACGCGAATTAAAAGCTCCACAGAAAATGCCTTAAATTGCTCAACGGATAAGCAACTCTTCTAAGAATTTTGGCATATTATAAGCTCATGAAACGTAATCCAAAGCGATAACTAAAATTTAATTTCGATGGCTCCGGCTCGACGGATCAGAATGTGGGGGAAAACTAACATGAATTAAACTAACATGAGCCATCGAATAATGAATTAAAACTAAATTGCCAAAACAAAGTATTTATTAAAAACTTTAAAATAAAAACAGACTTAGAACATACTCGAACTTCCAAAATAGTTGGGAAAAGAAACTATGCGCCCCGAAGCTCGCATAAAAGCTAAAGTAATAAAAATAAATAAAACCTTGAATAATTTGACGATTGAATTCTAAGGTAAACACGCTATACGAAATCGCTAATCCAACTGACAAGGAGACAAAATATTGCAGTTAGCAAGAATTTCAGAGAGCTTGCGTTACAAAGCAACAAATAATAAATAAGAATAGATTTCTTCTAGCAAGTTATTGTTAAATTATTCATCTACGGCTGAACAAATACCACCTGCCCGTCAAAGAAACGCGAATTAAAACTCCACAGAAAATGCCCTAAATTGCTCAACGGATAAGCTATGTTTTATAAACCAGGGCTTGAAAAACAGCCCGTCCGCCCGTCCTCGGCGGTCAAAAATTCCCCGCGGACAACGAATTTCTCGAATCCGACGTCCGCGCGGACGGCCATTTTCCCGTTAATGTTCGTGATACATTTTCAATTTTTGTTATCTTACAAGAGTCTAGCGCCTCACTTCTAAAATGACCCTCTAATCTCGAAATACAGCAACATACTGCGCATGGTGGAATTGATGTTTTCTCTGTCTGGGAGTACTGCAGCGGTTGAAAGGGGCTTTTCAGCAATGAACTTACAAAAAAACACATTACTTACTGGTCTTAAACAAGAAGCGTTAAACGCATTTATGAACATCTACCTAAATGGAAAACCTCTTTCAGATTTCTGTGCAGAAACCTCTGTAAATCATTGGCTTGATTGTGGAACTGGCAAACGTCATATTTGATTCATTTAAAAAACGCAGTACCATCGGATAAATTGACATGATAATTGACAGATAACTTAACCTTTGTTATTTAAATTATTTCATCAAAGAAATAAATTATTTCATAATAGAAATACTAGGTTTTACTATTAGTAACCTAGTATTTCTTTTATTACTGTATAATGTAATCCTAGTATTTGTAATCCTAGTAACTACTAATTCATTGTGCAATTTATATAAATGTTTGTAATAAATAAGAGAAAATTATATTTTTATTTATTTAGAAGCTATGGGTTAGTTTCAAAGGAGGACGGGTTCATTGTTGGACAAGCCGTCCTCGGGGACGGGTAAAATTTCTGAGTTTTTTCGAGCCCTGTTATAAAACCTTTCTTTCGACTGATTAACGAAATTTAATTATATTTACTCCTACACACTCTTGTTAATATCTGAACACCCTAATTTGGTCTTAAAATGTATTATTTACCATAATTTTTCTTTTACATAAATGTTAGAACGTACCCCCTACCATCATATGAATTGTGAATTCCGATTCCACAAATAATGTTGACAAATGCTTAAAACGTTTGAAAGTGTAGGCTTAAACTAAGTTTTAAGCTCGTATTTGTTCGTCTAACTAAATTAAACTGCATTTACTTCTAACCTAATGCCTGAATACACTAATTTAATCTCAAAATTCATCATTGACTATACCTTTTATCTATAGCATTAAGGAACAATCTGATTATTTAAAGTCCATAACTTTAATTAAAATTAATCGAGTTTTTTTTTTAACAATCTTTAGCTAGTCCAATCTCCATGCCCTTTCTTGCCGGAGACTCTTACCTTCAATTACCAAGACTGGAGGCGAAAAGTCGACTCGAAGTTGAGATCGAAATCCGACCCTTGGCAAATGATGGAATTATCCTTTACAATGGACAGAAGGCTACAGGAAGAGGGGATTATGTCTCTCTTGCCATCAAAGATGGATATGTCGAATTTAAGTAAGGGGAGACTAATTAATGAAAGTCGCTTTAAAACCTTTATGTGAAAAGGCAAGTCGTTTGGGAGAAAATCCTTCTTCAAACTCTGATGCCTGTCTTTATGCTCTAGTTAAAATCGATTATTAATTCTGGTTAGAAATTTCAGTGAATTTCTTAATAAACTTATTCTAATGGTGTGTTTTTTTTTCAATGGTTAACAGAATTATCAAACTTACACTTTAAGCGAAGTTATTTAATAGTTTTTGATTTAAAATGAGGTTTGAAATATTTGGTGCTAAGGAACTGTCCTTCGCAACAATGAAATATATAATTACTTTTATTAATAATCAGCTTCTGATGCTATAATATGTCAAGATTGAACAATAAATGTTTGACTCAGAGCTATTTAAAAAAAGTATCATTTTTCTTTATAAAAATATACTTGTAAGATATGCTAGTAGAAATATATTAACCACAACAGCTTTCTCTGATGTCTTTATACTCTTTTTAAAATTCATTATTAATTTTGGTTTGAACTTTCAAAATGGAATGTTTTATAATGAGATGTTTTTTAATAGTTTCAGAACAATATTATACAATCTTTATATTGACCTAAGTTTAAAGATTGGTTATCTCCTTGCTTTTGATTATAAAATAAAGTCTTTATTTATCAAATAGTTCAACAAACAAATTTTTACAATTATTTTCATCGGGGACTGCATTTAGCAAGATTTTTATAATAATCAATAATTACGTGGATTTTAATTTCCTAAGTAATAAACTTGTAACTTTTTATAACAGGTATGATTTGGGAAGTGGTGAAGCGTTTATAAAGTCATCCGAAAGACTTCATCTCGGGCGATTTCATCGAATTACAGCCAATCGATACCAGAGAGACGGAATTTTAATAGTTGACGGTCATGATGAAAATGTCGGTGAAAGCAGGGGAGCGAAGAGTTTCTTAGATCTGAATGAAAATTTATACATAGGCTATGTTCCTGGAAATGTCAGATTGTAAGTAAGAGTGTTTGATTCTGCATTAAATTAAATGATTCAAGAATTTTAAAACAGAGTGTTCAATAATTGCTGCCTTTATATATATATATTTTAAATTCCGGGCAAGAATGAACACAAAAATACAGAAGTGACATTGACATACATTTTAATAATTTCAATAATTACTGCTTGAACCTTGATGGCTCAGGGGATAGAGCGTTCGCCTTATAATGAGGTGACCCGGGTTCGATTCCCTGCGATGGTTAGTCGATACGAATTCAGCATCCGGCTTGCACCGACAACAGTGCTGACGTGAAATATCCTATGTGGTAGACAAATCATGGGTTAGAGTCCCCTTGCCGTCAGGCAAACAGTGGGAGTTTCTTGTGGTCTTCCACTTCATGTAACGCAAATGAGAGTTAGTTCCATCAAAAGTACTCCACGAAGGAAAATTTTGCCTAATACTTGATCCAGGAGCCCCTTTGTCTTCTGGATTGGGCTCAAAATTACAAGGCTACGGAGTTGACCATTAGTAGTCGCAAACCCAAAAACAGGGTCGGCTGTTCAACGACGGTTATAAAATAAAATTAAATATTTACTGCTTAATTTACTACCTACATACTTAAGCGTACAAAATACATACAAAATTACTACTTAAGCAAGAGAAGAAAAGAAACGAAAAACTTTATTGAAGCATAATGACGAGGAAAGAGAGATTCAGAACATCCGAAACCTGTTTGATTTCCAGAAAAAACTTAGAAAAAATTGAAGGTCATTTTTAATGAATATTTTCAAGTTGCATAGGACAATTGAATAATTGTTATTGTTTTTATTCCATTTTTCTTCATCAGTGATATGTCGAAGTTTAATAAAACTATATCAATTCAAGTTCTCTTCGTTATGGGTTGAAAATAACTAAATTGTCATTTGAAAACGATAATGTATATACTTATGATAAGGATTTTTAAACTGTGATTGCAAAATTCCCTGTGCAATCATGCATTGTAATATCTTATTCCAAGACTATTTTTCTTCTTTAATAATTTACTTCATAATGTAAACACTTAACTAGTTTGCATACTATGTTAAAATAGCTGCAAAGAATTATATTGCTTACAGTGTTCTCAAAAAATAACTTATTGTTTTTTGCATAGTTGTTATGTGTTATGAAGCAGTTTATTTTAATATTAACTGAGATTTTTTTTATTCAAATCAATATGTTTTCTATGAAAGTATCTTTTTAGAATTTATGATAATATTGGAACAACGCATGGTTTTCATGGTTGCATCCGTTATCTGAAAATTGGGGGAAATTTTATGGATTTGAGATTCCCTGGAACTAGAGTCTTACATGCCGAAAATATAGGTAAGACATTTTTAAGATATGTACTTGAAGGCAATATTTTCTTATAAAAATTAATTTTCGATACCAGTCATAAAATATTAGAGAAAAAAATTATATGATTTTTAGCTTTGATTATTTGAATTTCTTACCTATTGTACTCACTTTGCTTACCTATTGATAAGTATCCCTGCTGAATACTCAGTAATAACCGTTATTAGAATATATTCATAGAAAATGAATATACATATTGTATAGGCAAACTATTTCTTATAAAGGCAAACTATGCTGAGTACTCAGTAATAACCGTAATTAGAATATATTTATAGAAAATTTATATACATAATGTAAAGGCAAACTATGCTGAGTACTCAGTAATAACAGCAATTAGAATATATTTATAGAAAATTCATATATATAATGTAAAGGCAAACTATTTTATTTTTCTAGGCAAACAATTTATTATAAAGGCAAATTATGCTGAGTACTCAGTAATAATTGTAATTAGAATATATTTATAGAAAATTTATATGCATAATGCAAAGGTAAACTATTTTATTTACGGATAGTATACTACGACAACGAAGTCAAATAAAATTCAAAACAAAAGGATTTTATCAACAAAAAAAAGATCAAGTTTCTAAATTTTACCAAAACATATAATATATCGTATTTCTTATTGAAAGACCCAAACGTGAAGTTTGTATAGAAAAAATCAATTACTATTGACGTTATCCTTTTTGCTTACAATATGGTTATAAATATTTACATAAACTTCATAAGGTTTAATCCACACTTCAAACATTACAAAATCCAAATCCTCTTATTTTAAGAAAGAGTCTGCAAATGCGCGATTTAAGTCAATTGAAAGTTAATTTCAGGTTAGCTAGCACAAGCAGTCTTTTTCAACAAACTTGCATTTATAGTTATAATAAAAACATTACCATTTATTTATAATATTTCTGAGAGATGGAGCTCTGCCCAGTAATGCTTTATTTTTAATATTCTGATACTGCAAGGTTAACATTACTCTTCATTATTGTTATTAAATATATTTTTCTATTATAAAGCTTTTTATTATAACTTATGCTACTCACTGATCTCATGTGAATTGACGAAAGACTGAATGGACCCCGAGATTATTGAATTTCACATCATTATCAAAAACTAATTGATTGGAAATTGCAATAGTTTTTATTGTATGTTTTTTTTTTAATTTCAGAACGATGTAGTGACGACAGTTGCTCAAGCATGCCTTGTCTTAATGGTGCTTCCTGCATATTGTCAGATGAACACATGTACTTATGTAATTGTGCACCTAATTTTTCAGGTACAGTTTTTAAAAACTTTTAAAACAGCTCTTTTACATTTTCATCTGATTAAAAAGTAGGCTCATGTAGTGAAGTCTTAACAGTTATAAAAACGCTGTGTAAAACATTTTTCTTAAGAACATTGAAGATCGAAGAAATTTCAAAGAACTATTTTTAAATAAAAATTATTTCTAACTAAAGGTACGATTATATTAATTTATGAGCTTACTTCAAAATTACATAGTAGAATTCTGTAATTTCTTCGCATAATGTTATGGCTAACCCATAGTCAACATGGGTTAACCCATCTGTTAACCCATGTTGACCCAGCGTGACATATATACCCTGCTAATTACAAGAATTCTTCTTATCTGAAACAGAATTGTTTTATATATCAATCAAATATTTTGTAATTCTTTTCCAAAATCAAATAGTTTTAACAGGAGGAAATATTCATTTAGCTAAAAAAAAGTAACTGCTTTTTTAATAGGAGCTTTTTTATGACGCGTGACAGAAAAAATTCCATCTTGAATGGGTTTTAATGACAGACTAAATGAATAGATATAATTTATATTGAAGATTGAGTCCATTATTTAGTTGCATTACTTCAACTACATAATTGATTTCAACATAATTGATTTTAATAATGTGTTACCGAAAAAATTTTTGGATAGTGCAGAATTAATATTATGAAAAAAATTATTTCCTGGAGACTTGTAAAAATGATTAAAATCTTTATTTTTTATTTTATTTTAAATTTTTATAATTTGTTTTCATTTTTTTGAATTTTTGAAATAATTTAAAATTTTTATAATAATTTTGAATTTTTATAATTTTAACTTCTCACATCTACTTACATCTTATGAACACTCAAATTAAGCAGTATTGCCATCAACGATGCTAATAATTTTCTGAAAACTAAAAATAAAAAATATTCTGAAAATTATTCTTTAATTTTTTATAAGGTGATCACTACATGTCATTTTTCACACATATTTTTTTCGTTTACCATTAGTATTCTTATTTTTAGTTTTAAAAATGATTAATTATAAAGACTCGGATAACTGCAAGAGACGTAGTGTGCGTTTCTCGATCCTGATTGGTTATTGAAACGTGACATTTGTTTACGTTAGCAACTATTCTTTCCTTTATATTTCGAGTAAACCAAGTAAATCAAGAATCAATTCTCTTATGTGGCACATTTTAAATTCTTTCTCAAAGATTCGTTCTCTAAGATTTCAATTCTTTCCCTATCTATTTACACAGAGACTTAACAAGAAGACAAGCACGAAGTCATGTGGAACATAAACAAACTAATTATGCATCGAAGTTGCCAGGTACAACAAACAAAAATATATTACTATTACAATAAAAAACATAAACAACTAATAATATTAAGTTAAGTAAACGAAATAATTATATTTCAACTAATTCGATGGGCGATACGACTCTCTATTTAATTAACTTATCGTTATTTAACATTCTAACTTATATAGAGAAACCTAGCTCAACTTTAATGCACCATTTTGCTTTTAAAGATTATTTGGTGCTGACGTCATAGCTCACATGTGTATGGGAGACCTCCTTCTTGAAGTGCCTAATTGTAATAAAAATTGCTAATAAAAAATTTAATATTGAATACATTTAATTTGAAAAGGACGCGTCTGACACCTCTTGTCAAAATATTAAGATGATACTTATAAAAGTGACTTTTGCACTGTTTATGGTCCAAGAAAGATTTGAATAAAAATCTTAGTTTTAAAAAAAAAAAAAATAAATATAATTTAGGATAAGTTACCATAATTTGAAAACTTACAATCTTGAAAATATTTTTTTAAAAATCCCAGCATAGTGAAAATCCTTCCTTCCCGGATGCGTGGATATCTTATCAGCGGCTTGAACTCAAGTATCTAAAGACAGGAACTCAAATATTAAATAGATTTTAACATATAACGACTTTGTTGCTCATGCGTAATACTTTATATTGGGTTCTATTTGCAGTATTAATGAACTGGTATTTTTATTATTTTTTTTTAATCATATGACATACACTTGAACAAAATTTCGCGATAAAATATATTTGTCGCAATAAAACATTTGCACATTTATGTGAAGCTTATTGAGGTCAACAAATGAATTTAAAAACAATTCTTTTAAATAAATAAATGTACTTGAAAACATTTCTTTAAATAAATAAATGGGTTTTTACCTCTAAAATATATTTTAATGATATTTTATTTTTAAAAAAATTAGTATTTTAACACTGGCATTTCAATAAATGTTTTTGAAGTGTAATTTTTTTAGAAAACCAATTTTAGAACGTAGAAGGAAAACGTAGTAAAAAATGCGGGTTCATCATCCGAATTTAATTGGTTGAACAATCTTCATCAAACTCTTATCCTTTATTAGAATATTATATGTTTTTAAATAAATTGATGACTTAAACTCGGTTTCTTATGATTCCATTATTTTTTTTTGTGAAAAAAAAGTTCAAAATGCAATTGTAAAATGTAATTAAAATTTATCTCATTGTGAAAATTCGATTGTTTAGAGAACTAATTAGTAGGTTTGAAATCGAATATCCATTCGCAATCGGATGACAGTTTAAGTCTTTTCCAGTGAGTTTCATCTAACTAACGAGTTTGTTAGTGTATTGCCATTACGGAACGTAATTGAAGCTTTGCATATTCACTACGATTTAATACCATAACAACGATAACGGCTGACATCCATGAAACTGGTTCTTGCGTAGAATCAATTTGAACGAAAACCCCGGATTGCGCTTTAGGTTAAAATCTTATGAATGACTCTGTTATATAAGAATTTGAGTGTGAGATTTCGCTATTCCATTTGCCTTCAAGCGAGATCATTATTATTATTGACATTCATAATTTAAAACGATGATTTAGTTATTCTATCAAAGTTATTTAACTTTTATTAAAACTGATAATGTGTGCATTGTGTGGGAAGCATTGTTATGTCAAAAACTGTATTAATTAATTGTGGATTATGTATGCTTGAGAGGATACGAAAAAAGCATAGATATTCTATTTTGTTAATTTTGTGAGCGATTTAAGGTGATTAGAAAAAAAAGTGTCATCCCAATTAATCTCGAGACTTGGGATAGGTGTGTTAGGAAATTGAAAGTGAAAGCGACAAAAAATTTAAAACTCAGATTTTTTCACATCGGGTTTTTTGTGAGATAAGCTACATATTGTGATCTTTTAATTTATTCTTTCAATAATTGTTTCAATTGCATTGTAGGTTTACTGCTGCTTTCTATATTACATATTATTCTTAATAATGCGTCTGTATCGCTAAATAATAAAAATGCAATTGAAAATGAGTTTAAGATAAAAGAAAACAGAAAACAAACTTACCGAAGTGAAGTAAAAGTTTAAATGCCTTCAAAATAGATATATTTATCAAACAGTTACAAAAGATATGAAACAGTGCTTATAGCTTAAATCATGCAAAATAATTTTTATTAATAATGAAAAAATATAAAGCAAATTATATTGCAGTGCTGCCGCCATCTATGAAAAAAAAACACTTCAATAAAAAATTATATATATATATATATATTTANGTTATATATATATATATATAAGCCAAATATTTTCTATTAATGGTTGAATAAAATTGCCATAATGGATTTTCAGGTTCCAGTCTAATATAATGTTCATGTCATTCAGTGCATGATATCATGAAGCATACTAAAATTCAGCATGATTGCAAAAAGCCGGGTAACCACCTGGTCTTTGCACCGCACTTCCAAACCACCCTACCTTCTTTCTCGTAATAAACCTGTTTACCTTCTCTTCAATTTAAAGTAAGCCACCTTAGAATGCGCATGCGCCAGTATTGTTTTCAAAGCATCCTTAAGCCCAAATTTAATAATTCATAAGTTCAGCTTTAGTAATAGGTTAACAACAAAACCAGTATTTTTGGTAGAAAAGTATTATCCTTTTGAACAATGACTATTGTATTTTAAATGTAAATAAAAACTAAAAATTTGAGAAAATATTGTTTTAATTATTATCAAGAGTAAGAAAAAGAATATCTTTAGGTACGCTAGGTATGTTTAGGCATGGGAATATATTTTAAAGAAACCGTACGACTTGTTGCTAAATTATTATCACATTCTATTATTTCAAGGAGGTAATCGATTTCATTTCATTAGTTTTTTTAAAAATTTTAACCCAATTGATGAAATGATACTATAGTCGTTTTTTTCATTACAATAAAAAAAGTTGTTATGAAAACTTAAAAACGAAGCATGTAATTTTCCTTTCTTTCAAATACAAATATCTTTACATGCATTAAGAGAAAACTAATCAAATCTTCAAACATATCGGGTAAAATATTGCGCATTATTGTCTGAAACTTGTATATCAATAATAAATTTGTTAAAATATAGTATTAATAAATGCGTTAAAATATTTGCAAATTCATTAAAATATAAAACTCGGAAATGCTAGTAAATGAAATGGCTATTCAGAATTTAAATTTTGCTGACAGAAGTTCATCTTGAACATATAAAATATTAATTGACTAATATCATCAGAACAGACTAAGAATTTTCTATTCAGAAAGATTTCAAATAGTGTTTAAATAATCGAATATTTCTCATTCAGCTTTATTCGAAGTTTAGAGATTATTCATATAAAAGGAAGATACCTGATCTAATGAACTGCTTGGAGGGCTTTGAATATGAGTTGGAAAATAATTCTACCTGAAAAGATTCCGGTGTCCACTTTCTACGGGGTGCAGATTTTGAGAATATTTCTACTCCTTTAGGATTAAAATAGATAGGATGTAGAATGTTAGAAAGTTTTAATACTCTTTAATGAATATTCTGCTATTTACTCTTATTAAATATCTGCAGTCGGACCGGATAAAAGAAAAGGAAATACCCATTCTATCATATTTTTTTTTATTTCAAGAAATAAGCATTGCCAAAAGTAGTCAATAATAGAATGGTGATTATTATTTTTTTTGTGTGTGTATTTCTCTTTAACGATGTAACAATTTTTCTCTATTAGTTCATAACTTATTACTTTTATTTCAATTACCGTTGTTTTTAAGTTGCTTAGTTTTGTAAAAGCATAGTTTAAATGTATAACTATAAAAAAAAACTAAACGCGCATGGTGTCAGATAGCTTTAGAAAGATAAATGCAGTGCCCTATGCTTCCACGTTCAAGATGGCCATCGATTTTATTTGCCGTAACGAATAAAAACATAATTTAATATCAAATAACGTGCAATAAACTCTCTTTTTGATTAATAAGAGCCATAACCTAGAAAAAATCACTGATGTTATATATATAAAGAGTTTAATAAAACAAAATAAACTGCAGTTGCAATTTATTCTATTAAAATAATTGCGGTTGCAATTTATTTCAATAGCGAGTTCTAAGACAATTATAAAATTCCATTTTTCAAGCCTCTCTCAAGAACAATGAAGTTAAAATTTTTGTTCTATTTTTAGGATCAGTGGCTGAAATTGCCCTGTCACCCATTGCCTGAGTTTCAGGCTTCAATGGTTTGGGAAACAAATGGTTCTGGAGTTGTAAGAGAGTCACACTTAGACTTAGAGATTTGGGCAACTTCAAGGAGTAAGGCACAACGACCAGAAGTCTATTGTACGAGTACTTGATCATTTAAGCGGAAAAGCTTTCAGACTGAAATAAAGTTCAGGAATATCCAGACCTTAACACAATGTTGTGAGAAATGCTCAAATCTTTCAGCAGAAAAGATCTCGCAAAGAATATGTCGTGAAGTCTCCTCTTCAAGATGAGAATCACGACAAATTGGGTCGAGAGCAATGCCCATAAAGTAGAGGTATCTCTTGAGGGTGTAGTGACCAGTGAGAAGACCAATTACCTTTCTCAAACTGCTCCTGTTAATCTTAAGAAGTTATTTTTGACGCACACCGGGTTTAACTCATGATTTAACTCTTTAGGAGACAGACAGACAGACAGACTTTTCATTTTATCATTATAAGATACATCACCAAATTTCAATGCTTTCTCTAACTTTATATTTTTAGTGTATTTTGAAAACGCATATTTTTAAGCACGGAATTTTAATTAAGTTAAAATTATACAGAAATATTTTTTTTTTGTTGAACTTTTTCTTTTCTTTTGTTTTTGTTTTATTTTTGCATTGACGTATGGCAGCGCAGCCGAGTGGTTGGAGTCGTTGTCCTAACGAGACAAGGATACCGAGTACGATCCTAAGAGCTCGAAGAAAATGTAAAAATCTACAAATGTAATATAATCTTTTATTTATTATTTCTGCTTCTCCTAGAAAATTTTAGAATGTTCTAATTTGTCATTTTCTGTTCCGTTATTGAGTCCTATAAAAGATCAGGTGTTTTAAGCCGAAAAGCCAGTTACTTGGTTCCCTGTACGTTTAAAGGTTCTTAATAAATGTCTCTAACTTTCTGGACTGATTAAATTCATTCTACGTGACAATATAAAATCAAAAATGATCAAATAAAATAAAACAAGTTTTTATATATAATTGGTATTTTTTTAGAAATAACTGTTGACTTATTTTACCCGACTGTTTATATTACTGTACGAAATATTATTAAAGCATAAAAATAGATAAATTTTGAGTCCAAAATGTTTTTATTTTAGGACGTCACTGCGAGTTCCAATTAGATCCCTGTGCTTCTGATCCCTGTGCCTATGGGGGAACTTGTATATCTTTACAGGGGAACAAATATTCTTGTCTGTGTCCCGCTGGTAGCACTGGTGATAATTGCGAAATCGGTGAGAAATTCCTGCTTTCCCGTGTTTTATAATTTAATGCAAAAATATTTTTTTAGCAATTTTTTAGTATTATCTACAGTCAAACTCCGCTATAGTGAACACGATTTAAAGTAAACTCCCGGACATTGTGAAATAAATGTTCGCTCCCGTGCCTGGCTACACCCCTATAATGTTGTTTTTTGTGGATATAGTTAACCAAAAAACGAGACGAAGTTGGATATTAGGGACTTTTTTCTATCTTCGACTGATTTTCTTCATTTTTTTTAATAAGTTTTAAATTTCTACTTCAAAATAAGTACATATACCGATTTTTAAAACCATCTATTGCATGGAATGTAGCCATAAGCATTTTTTCCATATTGCTTCATTATTGAATAGGTTCAGCATTCAAAGAAGCAGTAATCTTCCAGTATCTGGACAAATGCTTCAAGTCAAAGCCGATGAATTTGCTAAACGATTTGGTGAGATTAATTTTATGTGCTCTAATGGCTAGTTAGACAGGCTTGAAAAGAGGAATTACATAAATTCAGGAAAAATTATCGGAGAGTGGGGAAATGTTTCCATATCTGATGTGAAGGATTGCTAATCAGGTAAAGATTAGCAATTTTTTTTTGTACGCACGACGAAGAGTCATAAAAAATATAAATTAAAACTTATTTTGTTTCTACGAATTATTTTTCAGTCATTTTTGTATTTCATTTTATGGATCTTTTATTTAAATAATGTGTAATAAAAAGGAGGAGTTTGGAGCCATTAGTTAAAATTGCTTGCGGAACGGATATAGTGAAGTCTCGTTTATAGTGAACCGAAAATTCGATACCTTGAAGGTTCGCTGTAACGGGGTTTGACTGTATTTTATTTTATAGCCGTCTTTGAACATAATAAATTTACCGTGGTTTATTTCTGCAATTTCCATTTTTCTTCTCATGTGCCAACTATGAGCTATTTCTGTTTTAAAACTTATCTTTAAATCATTTGTTCTACAATTTTATGACACATTTTTAATATATTTACCACAGAAACTTCAAATACCGATGAATCAGGAGTAGTATNATTTCTGATATTTCCATTTTTCTTTTCATGTGCCAACTATGAGCTATTTCTGTTTTAAAACTTATCTTTAAATCATTTGTTTTACAATTTTATGACAAATTTTGAATATATTTACCACAGAAACTTCAAATACCGATGAATCGGGAGTAGTATTAGATTTCTATGGAGACAGTTACTTGGAATTCCCAACCCTGAAGCGCTCAGCCCATACCTTGAGTGTCGAAATATGGTTCCTAACTAGAACAAATAATGGTCTGCTTCTTTACAATGGACAAAAGCCCAGAGGAATCGGAGATTTTGTGGCTTTGACAATAATAAATGGATTCTTGCATTTCACTTACAATCTTGGAAGCGGCAAAGCAGATATTTCGTAAGTGATACTTATTTTTAAGGATGTAATTATTTAAACGTACTATGTATTGATGTATTTATTATTTTAACACCCTCTGAATCTGGTTCTATTCGACGCGTTTTTAGTTGTGGATCTCGGCCCAATTTTGGATCTCGCACAAATTTTATTTTCAAACAATTGAATTTATTTTATTAATCATCGAAATATTTTTCAATAATTCTGCAGAAAATTATATTAGCGCTGATTTTATTAATTGGATCGCGGCCCAATATTGGGTCACGCTCAAATTCGACTTTCAAACAATTGAATCTATTTTATTAATCATCAAAATATTTTGTCCAATAATTCTACAGAAAATTATATTAGCGCTGATTGTATGAATAAATTGTATAAATTGGATCGCGTCCCAATGTTGGGTCTCGCACAAATTTGATTTTCAAGCAATTGAATTTATTTTATTTATCATCAAATATTTTGTTTATTAAATCTGCTGAAAATCGTATTAACGCTGATTGTATAAATAAATTGTATGAATTGGATCGCGGCCCAATATTGGGTCTCGCGTAAATTCGATTTTCAAACAGTTAAATTTATTTCATTAATCATCAAAATATTTTGTTTAAAAATTCTGCAGAAAATTATATTAGCTTTAATTGTGTGAATTAAAACAACACGTGTTTTTAAGCATGGGAATATTACAGGACTATTTTTAGTACATTAAAATACTAGTTTTTATTCTATTCTTAATGAATCTATGAAATTGATGTAATTTTTCATTGGTTTTGTTTATTAATATTTGACGAAATCATTCCTTGATTTTAAAAGATTAGCCATCAGATCAATATTTCTTAACATCTAATGAAAATTACGTTAATATTTTCTCACCATTTTTTTGTTTGAAAATCAATTTCATGTTATAAATTATGCATATTTACTTAGTTTACATCATTATTTTTTTTTAACAAAGAACAGATACAAGTAAAGGTTTTTTGAGATATTTATTACCAAGATACTTTTTAATTATCAATTTATACTTTTCTCTGTACTTTATAAAATTTATCCTACAATAGCTTTTATTGGCTTCTAAAATAAAATGCCCATTTAAAAATCTTAATTATTAATAAATTTAGAAAATAAGTATTCTAAAGCTTTATAACTTTGGAAGAGAAAAATTTTATGATTATAGTAGAGCACGACTTGACAAAAATGGCATAAGAGCGCTGCTGTTTTTAATTTTCGAATTCGCATTTTTAGCTAAAACGCTTCCTTTTAAAGCTAGTTGATTATTCTACTAAAGTTTGGGATGTATAGTAGATTACTTTACTGTAGATTAAAATGTCTTGAGTTTCGTTGGTTTGTGGATAAATTCAACGCGTGAAAGTAGACTTATTTAATAGACTAATTTAGAACTTGGGTTGTTAAAATAATGTAAAAAACCGACACTGAAGAAAACTGAAATAACTATTAAATTATAATTGTAATAAGTATAATCAACGACCTTGTCATTGAACTAAGCAAAAAGAATCAAGCTAACTCAAATCAAGAATATTATTTATTCATTTAAATTATTCAAGAAGTGCAAATGACTTTCCACGATACATGTTTCCTTTCCTCATTCAATCATTTAAATTGTTTTCAGAAAGTGCAAACGACTTTCTCTGTTATACTATTTTTTTTATCGTATATTTATTTAAATCGTTTTAAAAAAGGGTAAATGACTTTTTATACCTATTTTTTTAATCGTATATTTATTTAAATCGTTTTTAAAAAGTGCAAAAGATTTTCCACGAGCGATCGTTTTTTATTCCTTTTAATTAATTTTAATTACTTAAATTTAATCATTATTTATAAAATATTATGACTTCGATTCTTAATAGCTCAGAATTAGAATTTTAATATCAGAAATACTGAAAAAAACTGAGTAATTATAAGAATAAAACTAATTTGTATATTAAATTATTAAGGAAATGTCTAGTTTCTCTTTTATATGACATATTAATTATTAAAATTAAAATTATGCATAGTAACTGTTCAATAATTCAAATTCTTTAACTCTAATGCAGCCATTTAGAAGTTTTGAGGTAAGTGCTATATATTTGTTTTCCCAATTTTTATTATTTTTTAAAATCGTTTTGTATCGTAAAATCGTATTGTTTTCTAAAATGGTTTTTTATTTCCTTTTTATTCCATTAAATATTTTATTGTAGATCTCTTGAACCAGTTAGTTTGGGTGTGTGGCACTCTGTACGAATATCAAGATTAAGAGAAAAAGGAATGTTGCAAGTTGATCATGGCCCAGCGATTGAGGGGGAGTCAAAGGTAAAATAAAATATGTTTTGATAAATTTATTAAAAGTAATTGATTTTTGTTAAAGAAATGACGAGATTTAAATAAATTAATTAACTCAGTGAACTGTTATCAATTTATTATTTTTTCGTTTTATATTACGTTTTATATTATTTTTTCGTTTTATATTTCGTTTTATATCAATTTATTATTTCTTCGTTTTATATATTTTATATTACTTTATTTTATATTACTTTATTTTATATTACTTTATTTTATATTTTATAATATTTTTTTATTATTATTTTATTTCGTATTGTTTTAATTTATAATTTTTTTAGAATTATTTTTTCCATGCCATATTTAAGAAAAGTTTTTTTCCACGGGTCGATTAAAGATTATATAACAATTATATTTTACTTAATATGAATAATATTATTTTTTGTAAAAGATAGTTTACATCGTTGGCAGCATTGAATCAAAGTAAAGTCATCATGGAATAACATAATTTAAAGATGCGTACGAATCTATAGCATTTAGAAGAAGAAGCATTGCAATAATGAAGCAAACTCTTTTTCAACTTTTCCTTTGTGTTTATTCAGTATTTTTGCCTTCCTTGGTGTTGGAATGCTATATCGAATTATTTTAAAACTCCATAACCATTTATTCTAGGGTTCTGAAATTTGAAAATAAACAACAATTTGACCCTCGATCCTAAAAATCGCTTATGCGTTCATGAGAGATGATTGGAAAATTATTATAACATTTGCTTAAAAAAATTGTGATTTAATTGTTTTTAATTTAACGAACTGGATTTTTTAATAAATATCTTTAGTTTTTTTTTTTAAATAAAAAAATTAATTATGAAAATATAAACAAATTTCATTATAATTCTTAGGGAAAAAAGGGATAAATTGAAAAGAACTATTTATTTCGGAAAAAGAAGACTATGTCTTAAGAATACAAACTTTGTTGATAATACATAATTTTTTCATAAGAATTATAATTCAGTTTTAAAAGAAGTTGCACTCTTTGGAATAAGGAAAAAAAAAGTCTTGTTTTCATAAACTTCTCGTTCGATCCAGAAAAGGCTTAACCCTCCACTCAGAATAAGTTTTAACCCTTTGACGGTTATGAACGAGTTCGGCTCGCAATCGAATCGTGCTTCATAATGCGCTCAAACAAGTTCCGCTCGGGAGCAAGATTTCGACCGTAATGGTTAGTAACGAGCACTACTCGCGTAGTGAAATTTTTGCCCAGTGCGCGCTGACGAGCTGAGCTCGTTCGCCATTATTATTCTGCATTTATTATGTTAAAAACGAATCCTGCTCGCGAAACGTAGTTAGTTTTACTCCCTACAGATAGCAGTACGTGTTCCATGAATTTCTTTTCATAATGAAGGGGGAATTAATTTTCTTACGTTGTTCTTTTTATGAGTATTTTGGAGCGTTTTTTAGGATGTTTGTCAAGTAAAATGGCTGAAAAGCGAAAGTTAGATAATTATGATGATGATTATGATTGTGATACAGAAAGCTCATCAAGCTTTGAGTCTGATGAAGACTTTGTTCACAGTATTTAGATAATTACTGTATTTAAATGCTTCATAAAGTTTTATATTAGTTGTATTTATTTAGTCCTTTCAATTTAATATTTGTCTTACATTTATAATTAACTATTATTTGTGTAATTGATTATAATAATTTATAATTTACTATTAATAATTATCATTTATTAATTATTTTAAATTGCTTAAAAACTGTTATTTATGTACTACAAATACTTTAAGAAATTTTTAAAACGCGTGCGGCGAGCTATCTACGGCATCGCCAGAGAAGGGTGACATTTTCGGATGAACGGCGGGGAAAAACAGTTGGTGGCACTTTCCACTACTGTTTGCTCGTAATACTGCGCGAATTAATGAAACGAAAACTGCTCATTTTCCTAACCGTCAAAGGGTTAAAAGAAATTGCACGATTCGGAATAAGGAAACAAATCTTCTTGTTTTGATAAACGATTCTTGTTTGATCCGGAAAAGGCTAAACACTCCATTCATAATACGTTTTAAAAGAAATTGTATGCTTTGGAATAAGGAAAAAAAAATCTCGTTCTGATAAAACGCAATACCGAATTCGGTGAAAAGCCATAATTATAACTAAAATATAAGTTGACTATATGGATGATAAAGTTGTATCAGGTTAAGATTGCTAAAATTTTAATTAGTGTATCTAATTTCAGACCAGTTTCTAAGCAGATGCGTATGGGAATGGGAAAACAAGAATTTCAAAAATTGTGTTTTAAACATAGGAAACAATACTTTACTTGTCTAGATAAGAATATCCAACCCGTAAATAAGTATGAATAAGTAATTATATTTTTTGTGTAGTATATATACTAAAACCCTATAAATTTCGAAGATATAAATTCTGTGAAATTAGTTTTGGTTTCCTCCACATTCAGCATAAAAATGCATAGGAAACATTGCATTCCTTCAATAGTTAACTTTAATTTTGTTTGACCTTTCGAAAAAAATTCGATGGCTTCTAAAGCTGTCAGTTAAGTTAATCATTAAAATTATCTATTATGGCTGCTAATGACCATTAATTACCTATTATGGATGTTAATGTCCATTAGTGTCTATAATGGGCATTTACCGCAAGTTTTTCAAAAATTTCAAGCTTTCTAACTGCTTTCACATTGTGCTCTTTTTGCGATAAAAAAACATCCCTCAATTCATTTCTGAAAGCTCTTGTAATTTAAGTTTTTCCATAGAAATTGTTTTTCAAAGTTTTCTTATAAATAGTTCAAAAATACACAAAATACCGATTGTAAAAAAAGAATTATCTGAAGTTTTGAAAGTCTTATCGCATTGGTGCATGCTCTGCATGAACGAACATTCATTTGCAGGGAGCTTCGTACGAATTGAATCTTGGTCAACCATTCTACGTTGGTGGTGTTCCAGACTTCATTCCCCTGAAATACACATTGGTGGTGCAAGAAGGTCTCAATGGAGCGATTCAAAGAATAATCGTCAATGATGAGGTATGGGATGACGTACTTGGTTTGGCAACTGGTCAAAGAAACATCGAATTCTATTCAGGTCCGCCATGTCTTCCTAATCTTTGCCAAAATGGCGGCCATTGCATTCCTAATCTGAATGATTTTAGGTGCCAATGTTCAAAAGGATATGGAGGGAAAGTATGCAATGAAAGTAAGTGCAACTATTCATGTATAGACACGTTTCAAAGGTATATACTGTCCTTGGCCGAATCATTAGACGCACTATAAGATAAGATTCTATATAAAATCTGTATTATCAGGTGATACTATACAGCTTTAGTATTTTTAGGTGACTGAAACCGGTTTGCACTTGTTTACGCTAGTGCATGGGTTAAATTAGACGATATATAATATAAATTTGACGATAGGATAAATTAGACGATATATTATATGAATATGGAATATTTATTATATCAAGCATTATATTAGTATATTATAATAATTAGTTCAAATGATTAGATGGCACTGTAGTGTTTTAATAATGACATGATTTGCACGAGTTTATAAGCATTACTTTTATATTTATACATACATTCAATGGATTTTTATTCGGGAGATTTTTTATGTACTGATACACTTCCTATTTGTATTTATTTTTAACTTATTGCATTGCAATGTTAACCGATTGATACAGGAGCGTAAACAAATATAAACCGGTTGCATCAGAGTAAAGACAATAATGCTGTATAGAGTATCACCTGATAATTATAATTTTACATGGAATCTTATAGTGCGTCTAATAATGTGGCCAGGGACTGTATCTATTTTAACGAAGCTGACACCCATACCAAATAAATGTTAAATGAACTATAGTAAACAAAAATTACAAAATATATCTATATTTTATTCATTTATTAACGATCGTTAAATCGAGAAACATTTCATTGAAGATCTCAAAACCAACTTTCTAATATTTTGAAAGGGAATTTGAATATATCAGATTAATGGAATTAAACGGAAATGTTATGTAAATAGATTAGAAAAGGCTTAAGACTCCACTCAGAANATAAATTACTATATTTATTATAGTAAAATTACTACATAAATGTTTTATTATTTTATCATTTACCGTTAACTTATTAAATTCTATTCTATTTTAATCTCTCAATGTAGGTAACTTTGAATACGTGACATAAATGGATTTAAATGTATCTTTTGTATAAATTGATTCATAAGGGAACAATTTTTATAGTCATATAGTTTTTTTTAAAAAAAAATGAAAATTTGAGCTTTAAAGAGCATTATGGGTTTTTTAACAGCAAAGTTTACTAATGTTGAATTTTTATGCTCAATATCATAAAAACTACTGATTTTTGGAAATCTTTTTCATTGAGCTTGATGTCGGCGATGATGCAAAAAATTCATTCTTTTAATTGAAATAAAACGTTATCACGCAGAGAATCAATGTATTGTTAGCTTAAAACGTGATCCTGTAAGGAATTCATATATTGTTCATTTAAATAAAACATAATTTATTGTTAATTTATATTATATGTGATCATGCAAAGAATTCATACATTGCTAATTTAAATGAAACTTGATCATTCGAAGAACCAATACATTAGTAGTTTAAATAAAACATGAACGTGCAAAAATTCATGTATTGTCAATTTAAATGAATCGAGATTATACAAATAATTCCTATATTTTTTAATTTTAATGGAACGTGATGTTGCAAAGAATTCATACATTGTTAATTTCTAATCTCTGTTGAATATCGTGTTTTACAAATTTTATTGATAGTTGAGATACAAAATATTGTTTATTGCTGAAAAATCTACAGAAATAAGTGATATTTACTTAAACCTCACATATTGTTAGAATTCATATATTGTTAATTTAAATGAAACGTGATCATTCAAAGAATTAATACATTATTGTTGAGATGAAGTATTATCATGCAAAAAATTCATGCATTGTTAATTTACATGAATCGAGATTATACAAATAATTAATTTATTTTTAATTTCAATGAAACGTGATCTTGCGAAGAATTCATACATTATTAATTTCTGTTGAATATCGTGTTTTATAGATTTTATTAATAGTTGAGATACAAAATATTGTTTATAGCTGAAGAATCTACAGAAATGAGTGATGTTTACCTAAATCCCCCAGTCAGATTTGAAGGATCCACTTTTATGCAATTTTCAGAGGGCATCAAAGGGATGAAGTAATTATACGTTCTATTTTTATACTTCGAGTTCCAATTCATTTTGTTCAATCTATGTTTATTTTTTTATTAGTGATTGCATTATACAAAATATTTTAGGATGAAGTTTAAAATAATTATATTTACATATTAAATTAATTTATCCATTAAAAAAATTTAGCAATTAAAAAAATGAAAACAAAAATATCTTGTTATTTTTTATGTCAAAATATTCATTAATAATTTTTTTACTTGTTTTTATGCATTTCAGATTATATTTTTATGGCACATTAACTCTTGACTAATGAAATAAAACTAATGTTGACACATTAACTCTTGACTGGATCAACTAATGAAAATAAAATGAACTATTGAATAATTTTAAAAAATAATTCAAGTGTAATAAATATTGAATTACAGTAATATTTTATTTCCTAAAATGTGAAATTTCTGTGATAAATACAATAATTTGAGTTACTGAAATTCGCAAAAAAATCTCGAAATTCACAACTTAAATCGCAGTTGTTTGGAGGTAATAAAATTATAATATTATAAAATATTATATAAAAATGGGGGCATACATTTCTATATTTGATTAATTTTTTATAAGATTATACGAGGGTTGCTATTTATATTTCTGGCCTTGGCAACAGTAAGTGTTGCTAGGCGACCGCAGTCGATTTTAATCGAAAGTTTGATATTTTTAAACATAAATTCAGCAGACGATTTACCATTATAGCTTCATTTGTGTTGTTGACAGTAAATTGANTGAATGGAAATAATTAATTTAAAAAATAAGTATTTTTAAATAATACATCTAAGGTTTATGTGCAGGAAAAATCTTTTAGAATTTGAATTATATACTTTTTTTCCACTGCCACCCACAGCGTTCAGAAAATTTCGAATTCATAGTTCCCGAAGTACCAACCCCATAACTGAACATTTTTTGTTAGTGAAATATTTATAACTTTGGTTGTTCAGAGTATTATACTATTTTCCTAAAATATTTTCTATTTTAAAATATTAATTATAGTTATTTTATAGATGTTAAAACATAATAAGTGATGAATGCCTTCTCCATATTGTAAATAAAAATAATTGATAAATATTATAATAATTTTTTTAAATATTTTCTATTTAAAAAATATTAATTGTCGTTATTTTATAGATGCTAAAAGATAAAAAGTGATAAAGAACTTCTCCATATTGTAAATAAAAGCAATTACTAAATACTACAATATTTCTTTTAAATATTTTCTATTTAAAAAATATTCGTTATTGTTATTTTATAGATGTTAAAACATGATAAGTGATAAATACCTTCTCCATATTGTAAATAAAGAAAATAAATGTCTTAAAGTTAAAAATGTTTCAGTTTTGTTTTCTAAGTATAGTTACATTTATTTTTCTGTTTTTATATTCTATCTGGTATCTATATATCTATCTATATATTTTTTTTCCTCCAATAGATTCTCTAAAACAAAAGAAAACATAATAGAAATAGTTTTTCGTACCTCACACAAGAGCGGACTAATTCTTTGGATGAATAAAGGGACGAATGTGAGAGGAGATTATTTGGCCATTGCTTTAAATAACGGATACGTCCAACTTAGTTACAATTTAGGAAAAGAAATCAAGCCACTCATCTTGGAGAGTCCAGTCCTAATTGATGATAATTACTGGCATACAATAACAGTCAAAAGGTACAATATTTCACACAACTTTATCCTGCAACTTCTTGAATTGTCATTTAATTAGAATTAAGAAGGACTACCAATATTTAGAAAAATAAATCATGCAATTAATATAAACAGTTGACCATTTTATACAATATCAAATACTAATGATAATGGTACTTTTTATAGTACCGAAAGTAGTGGCTGTTTTTTTAATTTAACTATTGTTGATGGTATTTGGTTTAGTATCGAAATGGTTTTGTCTATAAAATATGATGGTTAACTGTTTACACTGTTAGACTATTTGTTACACGTGCTCTTCTTTTCGAGAAAATAGATCTTAAAAAACCTTTCTATCCCGATTAGCATTTTGTTGTTTTCGTTAGGTCTTCCCAATACGCCATAAAAATACTCGTATGACTCGTTTGAATTTATCCTTACTTTAGGCTCTTACTATTTTATCCTTACACTATACTCGTGTAAGTCTTACTATATTTTAAGAAAATTTTGCTGAGAAACTTTTTCTATTGCAAATCGCATTTTTTAAGTATTCTCAATTATATATTAAAATCCTGAACTTACAATCGATACATCTTGTTATACTCAGAAATGTATCAATAAGCTATTATTGATATATATTGATATCTGATATATTTGATATATTTTGATGTATTTGATATATTGATAATATATTGATTTTTTAAAAAATGATATTTTGATATATATTTGCTATAATGATATATAGCAATAAGCTATTTTTAATTTATTCCTTTTGCCTTTTTCATGCTTTAAATTTTAATTGACAGGAATAAAAGACTTGCTCATCTTATAGTTGACAATTTTCCAATTGTTTCGAAAACATCAGAACCAGGGGCAACAGAATTAAACACGGATGGAATTCTATGGATAGGTAAGTATATTTAATTTCACACCTGCGTTTGTTAACTAATGCTTTAATATCGCCTGATGACTAACCCTTGTTCTACATTTTCATGAAGCTTAATTCATTTATCTATCATGCATGCTAAATTTGGTTTTGTTTCAATTCATTGCGCTCTCTGATATCAAATTATAATTTTTTTCAAATCATTCTATCAAATTTGAACACAATGTGGGTAAGCAAGGTGCCAAATATTAAAATCAAGAGCTTATAATACCTCGTGTGATTATTAACTAGTTGATGTTAAAATGGAGATTATATAATAACCATTCTTATGTGCTTGTATTGAGAAGATAGAATGTTACAATACGACTAATATTTTGGTAACTATTAGTTTGCCTCTGCTTCGTTTGGTTTAAGTGAAAACTACGTCATTTAATTACGACAACAATAAATATTTTAAATGAATTTTTTGAATGAATTTTTAGCATAAGTGTTTTCAATTAGTTCAAGATACCCTCACCTTTTTTTCAGCCTTGCAATGTTACATTCATGAAGTCGAATATCCCACATTGATACAGTCGTTTGTCGTAAAAACACCTAAAAAAAGTAGAAAACACCTAAATTGCTTTATATTTTAAACATTTTTCAATGTTTAGATAGGACACCAAATAAGAAAAAAGTGTTTTACAATTATAAATATTTAATTACATTTATCACTCTATTATACACTTATAGATATTATATTTTTAACATATTACCGTGTTCATTATGATCCCAAATAAGACCTTTAAAGTGTTATACAATCATAAATATTTTATCACTTTATACACTTATACGTAGTATAATATTTTTAACACATTACCATATTCATTATGATACCAAATGAAAAAACCTTTAAAGTGTTTTACAAACATGAATATCTTATCACACTACCATAATTAATAGGTTAATAAGTAACGGGGCTCTTAAATTGTTTCAGGTGGTTCGTCAAATGTGCCTTCCGGTTTACCGGATGCATATTACCACGGTTTCCATGGGTGCATCTCTTCAGTTACAGTTGACAGTGAATCTCTGAACCTATCAGCAGGTTTTTTCAAATACTGCCACCCCTCTTGACAACCGGAAACGAAAGTATATCTACCTCCCAACACTTCCGAGTAATCTGCAGAGTCTGCAGTAACATAACAGAGCACAAGAAGTAAAAAAAAAAAAAAATTAAACTTCGAATGAAACGTGCCGCCCAGATATGCAAATTGTTCTGCTTCCAAAAACATTTCTGTATGTTTTATGTGTGTATGTGTCATTTTATGTGTGATATATAAGATTGTTGATATACAACGTTGATATTTAGCGTCTCACTCTATGTGGAAAGACCAGTGTGGATGTTATTTAGGTTACCAGCAGAAGATATTCAAAGTTTCAAAAAGGTGTTTAGGCTATATATCAGAGAAAGAGGATGTATAAAATTGTTTCCTATGAGCTAGTCAAGTTGAATGTAAAAAATAAATCCATACTGCTCTATTTTCAGAGCTCTCAAAACGGGACAGTATCATATCAATGAAACCATAAGAGCTATTATATGATGGTTGTTATCTTAAGCTATTTGCCAAAGCTAACATACATATCTATCAATCAATGAAAGATATTAATATATATTTTTACGTTATATCCGATTGTACAACTTAATATACATGTTACCGTGAATGACAGAAATCAAGAGAATGTCGACTTTCAATCAACAATCACATAGTCGCTTTGGTGAATGTCCGAAATATTTATTATATCCGATTTGATATTAATTTATTGGTTTATGTTATTGTATTTATTCGATATTTTAATATCGGCTGAGGATACATCAGGAGAAAACGGTTAACCGGAGGAGCACCGGTTAGATGCATACCGGGCAGCGGCACTGAACCTTGCAAAAAAACATTGATGTAAGGTATACTGACAAATATATGAACTTAACTAGACCGAACAGTGGCACTTAACTAGACCTAGTATATATTACCAAAGCGGACTATGTGATTGTCAACATTCACCGGTGGAAGTCAACAACCACCCATTTCTGTCATTCACAGTAACATAACCATATTAAAATTAACGTCAATGTTTCGTTTATTACACTGAAGTGAACATATCATTTATGACAAAAAGATATCTATAAGCAATAAGAAAATTGAAATTTAATACACATGAATTTACATAAATTTAATACTTAACATGATTGATTTATTAATTAAATTGAAGATGATATATTATTTATGGCAAAAATTTATTATCCACATGCAATAAAAGACAAAAATATAACTTTTTCCAATCAAAAGTCTTCCTGTTTTGTCCTTATGAAAAGTAAAATAGGGTGATTTTGTACGTAAGCAATTAAAAAAAGTAACCTTCTAAAACATGGTATGGTATTCCTATGTAAAATGTATCTATTTATTGGTAAACAAATAATAAAACAAATTGTTAAAATTTCCAAAATTTATTATAAATAATTCAATCGTTTGTTTGCAGGAAAAGTAGTCCTTATAATAATAGAATTTTGTTGTTAATGGAAAATAATTTCCATGTAAAATATTGCAGAATAATCATTACAATAATAACGTTAGAATATGCAAATTTTAAAAGAAATAAGCCAATGTTTAATTGACTAAAAAGGTATTTTTTCATCACATCTATCTTTGTAGGTTGTTTTGTTATTTAAATACACAGCATAAAATTATTTAAACAAGCGGATTATTTAAACGTTGACTTTTATAAAAACTTAGGTTTTTTGCGATTTTGTTTGCAACTTAATTCCGAGAACTTCGAAAGAAATGAATACTATCCAGCTTGTTTTTTTCCTTTTCCATATTAATATTCTCAGACGCATGCGTGACTTATCAAACAATACATTTTAAAATTAAAACTTTTTGAGAAGTTTGTTTTAGGCATTATTACTTACTATCCAAAAAAAGACATTTTATGGGTTATTTCGACTTCAATACTTGATTACGATGGGAATTTAGCTCAGGCATTTGATAAAATTGGTTATATCCGTCAGAATATTGAGTGCAATTTGTTGTTATGATTGACTAGTATAAGTTGAAAAAAGAAAATTTCGTCATATATTTTTATGTATTTTTCACTAAAAATGTTTTTAAATTAAAAACTACATTTATCGTTCAACAATATTGGGTACCTGCGTTTGCATTTTTATGTATATACTTCGTACTTTTAATTAGAAATTGAACTTTTAAAAATAAACTGTACTCTAAAAAGAATAAATTGCTATTAATGTTAATTATAAAACAGCCACACGTTTTATATTTTTTATTAGGACAGAACGATTTTAAGGAAGGACTTGAAGTCTAATTAAAGCAAAAATTAAGCATAATCATTTTTTAGAAAAATATTTTGTCATTTAAATATATAAGTAACATAAACATATCACATAAGGTTAAGAGTTAAAAATCTAAGATTATGTATTTAGTTTCTATTAACAGTTTAAGTTAATTGTTGTTTAATTTTTTATTATAAACGATCACCTACTGCATTTATATCAGCTTAAAAAAGTAAGTTACAGAACAGCAATAAATATATTTATGTTTTTTCATTGATTCCATGAAACATCCAACAAGTTATTCTCTGAAATAGCATTATCTATCTTTACTGTTTCCATGGCAAAATCTTAATTGTTTACGTTTAAATTGTTTACGTTGTTAATATCTATCAATATCAATATATAAAAGGTGTTTCATTAATAGAGGTACCGTTAGCCGCGCTTTGTAACCGTTTCATATAATTTACTTTTGATGATTTTAAAGAACAATAAATTTGATGAGGTTAAGTAAAAAAAAGAAAAGCGTAATCGCAGTTGTAAAATGAAATTAATTCGACTTTTGACATGTTTAAAGCATATCTAATAAAATACAAAACATTAAAATAATGAGAAAATTATTTTTTTGATTCTCTTTTATTTAAAAATATTAATTAAAAATGAAGATAAATAAACATCTCTAAGTTTTGTCAGAACTCTTTCAGAACTTTTTCACAATTTTTAGTGTTTGTTTTGAGATTTGTCATTAAAATCTAACTTATCTTATTTGGTTAATACAGTTCCCGAAATTTGTATCTACTTATTTTATTTTAAATTTAATATTACGCATGACAATAAAGATTTTTGGCTTAATATATTAGATTATTCAAAAAATGATGTTATGTTCTACTTTTTTTATGTTTTATTACCGTCGTTGAACAGCCGACTCAACTTTTGGGTTTACGATTACTAACTCCTTAACCTTGAAATTTTGAACCCAATTCAGAAAACAAGGAAACTCCTGGATCACGTATTGGGAGAATTTTGCCTTAGTGGAGAACTTTTTGATGGAGCTAACCTACATTTGCGTTACATGAACGGGAAGACCACGAGAACCTCCCACGGTTAGCCTGACGACAAGGGGACTCTAACCCATGATCCGTCTACCACTGAGGATATTTCACGTCAGCACTGTGGTCGGTACAAACTGGATGCAGAATTCGTATCGAACAGTCATTGCTGGGATCGAACCCCGGTTCACCTCATGGGAAGGCGTTATGTTGTAAATTTTTTTTTCGAGTTAATTTACGTTGATTTTCAAATCATTAAGATGGAGGATAAAGTTGAGAAAAAATAACATTTTCAACACCGCCTTTTTGCTTTTAAAAAAGATTTTAAGGTTACAAAACGTTCTTGTGACATTTGCGTTGTGTATGTAGATAATGTCATAGCTGAAGGAAATACTCTTGATCGGTCTGCCAACTTAAAATTGGAAGTTTCGATTTAATAGATGCACCTCGCTTTGGCCGTCCAGTTGAATTTCATAAAAAACAATGAAACCAACTTTTGCACGAAACTTCATGCCAAACTACAAGAGCAGATAAAATGCAATGTCCTAACGTTTTGAGCTTGGAAAAATTTTTAAAAAAATGACGTTACTGAGTTGGAAGCCCTATATTTTTCACAGAACGTTCGCCTTCCATTGAGGCGAACCGGGTTTGAATCCCAGGCGATATGAATTCCGCATCCGGCTTACACCGACCACAGTGCTGACGTGAAATATAAACGGCGGTAGACGGATCATGGGTTAGAGTCCCCCTTATCGTCAGGCAAAGCGTCAGAAGTTCTCGTGATCTGCCTCTCCATGTAACGCAAATGCGGGTTAGCTCCATCAAAAAGTTCTCCACGAAGGCAAATTTCTCCCAATACTCGATCCATCAGTTCCCTTGTCTTCTGAATGGGGTTCAAAGTGACAAAGCTACGAAGTTGAACATTAGTAATCGTCAACCCATAAAATTGTGTCGTCTTTTCAACGACGGTTATAAAATTAAAAAAATAAAACTCGGTGAATTAAACAAATCCACAAAATACCAGGTAGCATATACAAATTTGGATTTGAAGAAATATTAACAATAAATTAAAAATTTATGAAATTTTGATGCCCATCACCCTTTAACATTGGTAACTCTATTAATGTTTATCTTTGTACATCATCTTTGTTGCAAAAGTACGTTTAAAAAAGGATGTTTGATATTTTGATAACAATTATTTTTCGATGAAACCTAAGATGATTGAAGCAGTAACCCAGATTTCGTTTGAAACACATGAAAACGATTTCTATATACTTTGAACCATGTCTTCCATATTTGTTAATTGTATAGGTATTGTACTGTTACCACCTGTAATCACCTGTTACTAGACACGTCTTAATTAGCACTTTTTGAAGTGACGTATTAAACACTCAACAAATTAATAATATTTTTTTTTATCTGTGAGTTTTACTATTCTAACTTTCTCATGGTTGAATAATTACGAACATAGTTATGAAAATATTAAAATTTTTATTTCAACTGTATTTTAAGACACTATTGTGTTTTACATATCAAATTACTTCCCTATTAATTAGCAATTTTTGAAGTCAGACGCATGTTTCTTTGAACTCTACAAGTTTATTTAAACTTTTTATCAATATTTTATAATTCTTTCTTCAGGAATTCTAATTGTTGAATAGTTATGAACATATTTAATTAAAAATTGCTAACTTTACGTAAATAGTGTTTTAAGACGCATTTTTTTTACTTCTTTATTTATTAGCACTTTTTTAAAAGAGAAATTATGTGCTCCAACAAAATAATTATAACACATAATTATAATGTTATATCAACGATATTTTAATAACTTTAAATTAATTTTGATATTTGAATATTTATGAATCTAATTATAAATAAATTATAATAAATTAATCTAATAATAAATTAAGGAAATTGTGTTTCAAGGCGCTATTGCGATTTTTTACTAAACTTTATTTTGATTTTAATTAACTTTTTTAAAATGACAGTCTCAATTACAACTTATTAATTTTAACAAATCAACAATGATTTTTATCTATTGAAATTTATAAATTCCGATTATTGAATAATTGTAAATATAAGTACGAAATCGTTACAAATTTACGAAAATTATGTTTTTAGATAGACTTTCATCAAACTACTTGGTTATTAACTATATTTTGGTTATTTATAAAAAAAATAATTTATAAAAACATGTTATTCTAAAAATTGCATTTATATTTAGTTACTTAATGTATGATAACTTAACAAAGTTTAAAATTAATTTAAGGCTCTCAATCTATTTCGTAAGTTAGATTTCATTAAAATCTTAAATAAATCATTTTATTCTAAGTTACGAATGTAACACAGAAGATTAATGTAACTAAAATTTAATAAGTAATTTCATACCTAATAAAAGACAACCCATGGAATGAAATTAATTTATATTGATTTAATTCCTAAACTAAGAGGGAATGCATTTGAAGTTTCTGTAATTAAAAGGATTATTATGAAACAATGACAAGTAGTTAGAAACTCTATTTTAACAGAATTAATGTAAGAAATCATTTTCTTAAGTGAAGTTAAACTTTGTTTTTTGAAAAAAAGCTTTTTATCTTTTTGTTTTGTCTTTTATACCAGATCCTTTTACAAAAAAATTAGAAAAAGTAAAAAATAAAAAAATTATTGTTAAAAAAAAATAAAAATAAGTCATATTTGAGACGGGATTATTTTATTTAGTCTTATTATTTATTTTTTTTATTGGAGGATTTATTTTGAAAAAGTCTAATAGTGGCCTAATTTGGTTTAAGCTCAGATAAGACATTTTTTTTCTAGTTTAAACTGAAAAGTGAAAGTAGAGTATGGATTAAAATTTTTTTTTATTCAGAATTACATGTAATTGTTAAAAAATATGAAAGGGTTCTTTATCTTATTAAAAATAAATAAATAATATTATTTTAATATGAACTCCAATTAATTATAGAATTCTGTTCAGTATATCTTTATGAGTATCAACTTAGCTAATGCAAAGTAAAAGGTATTTACTTTATTTATTTATTTTTTACTTTTCTTATCAAGTTCTTTAAAACAAATTTTTTCTTATTTCTTAAGACCTGACGTATTCCATTTATTTGATTTAATTGAAAAATAAACAATACATGATTTAAATTTTTTAAAAATTGAAAAATCAAAGTTCCCATAGCAGTTTTTATGTTTTTGGAAATTTTAAACAGAGAAAAAATTCTGCTAAAATTACCCTACTTGTATGGTAACGACATTTCTTGAAAAAGAAAAAAAAACACAATTATGGTAATGAAAACAAAAGATTTGGTATTTAAACCATTCACGCGGCAACGTCTTACCGGATATTCTAATTTTCAAAATAATGTTGTTTTTTTTACCACATTTAGTAACAATACAAATTTTTAAAGTAAATGTAACCAAATAAATGGTGTTTGTGTTTTGCTCTAAGGCAGGATTTCTTAAGCTTTTTGGTGTGGGGACCACATAATATTTACTGAAATTCTGTTGGACCCTATGAGCAGAGCGCAAATCCGACAAACGTGAAACTGATAGCATCACAAGCAAAACAAGTAATATGAATCTATTATGAAAAAATACGTCAAGAAGTTTCGGTTTTTCTTTGTCTCTATGGTTTTTTTTAAAATTATTTTCAGATACATTGTGTAAAAATACTTAGAAAATTGTAAAGTTACTATAATAAGTTAAAGAAATATCAAAATTACTAAAATTGTCAGTATTGGCATTGCCACTCACAATTTAAGAAACTCTGTTCTTGAAGTATTATGACACAATTACCAAATTTCATTACATTTACTAACAAACAGCATGGTAGTAAAACCATATATTATTGTTAGCTCTTTTTCCTCTAAAAATTATATTTTTTGGTGTTCCCATGCAACCAGAAACACGGTAAATTTCACCCTATTCTGGCAGTTTTTACCCTATTTTTTTCTCAGTTTATTATAAGTTTTACAAGAATTTTTCTCTTTCGTATAAATTGCTCTATATTAACAAGTAATCAAAAGTATTTTGCAACAATACTTTTCTCGTTGTATCATAAATGTGTTATTCAAATTGCAGTTATCTTTTGTAATCCTTTTTCGTGTTGTGTTATACTTTTAATCCAAAATTGATATTTAATATCTACAGCTTATATAGTAATGTGTTTTTATCTTTATTATACGTAAATGTATGAGAGAAACTTATAAAATTAATGTTCTTTATGATGAGTCTGATGTTTCTTATTAACATCGAAACTGGCTGTAAAAGTATTAATGAAGTAATTAAAATATATTGTATTTAAAATATATTGAAATAAAATTTTAGATTTTTTTGAATACTAATTTGATTACTGACTGCCTATTTTTCTTAACTACAAATTTTTAAACATAAAACTTTCAGAAATCCATAGTTTAACATAAATAATTTAACATAATGTGGAATTCTTATCTCAAGCAGATAAAATTTGTAACTTTAACAGTTTAAATTATTTAAAATTATTATCCATTGGCAAAATGGGTGTTGTTTTGGGCTTGATGGCTTGCTCACCTTATTTGGACGTCATCACACTTTTCGACTGTGTTAGTTTGGACGTCATCACACTTTTCAACTGTGTTAGTTTGGACGTCATCCCACTTTTCAACTGTGTTTTCAAGAGTAATATTAAGCAGTGCGCATGCGTCGTTATTGCATGCGTTGCTATGGCGACCGCTACTGTTTGATAATTTTTTTTAAAATTCCTTTTTTCGCTTTTAATTTTGTTATGCATTAAGCTGGTGAGTTCATTTTTGAGATATGGGACCAGAGAGATCGCAAAAATACTTCTTGAGTTGTGAATAAAA